TCATTTGGTGAAAATAAAAGACAAAAAGCGCCTGATAAAAGAAGTCAATGCAGCCACCACATCTAAAGATTGCTAAGCTACAATATACTACATTCCTGTTCTTGGGTTCAGAGAAGTTTATTTCCTGTAACTATAAATCTGCTTTATGAAGCTATTTGCAAATCTTTGTGTAAATTTAGTGGAAATGATGCATTGGGAACATTTTGAAGTCATTTACAGAACTGTCAGAATCCTATTTTTGAAGCCCATTGGTTTAATATATCTCTGCCTTGGTGGACCTGATCTATTGCTCCGTTTCACATTTTAAGCTATGCGGGTGATTGTTTTTCATGGTTAGTGATACATTACAGCCTGCCATGCTCTGAATTGTACAATTGTGATTTTTCTCATTTTGCATGGATGGACAGAATAAGAAAATGGCCGCTTGTCAAGTAAGGGGATCTTTTGCCTGTTTAATGGAATGCATATTTATTGAAGGATATTCCATTAAAATGATTGCAGGTGCTAGACACTTTTACATGAAGGGTATTGCTGGATTCCAACCTTGGTATAGATCTATCTTTGCTTGTATTTACATTTCGGAATTGTAGCGAGGGCTGGGACTATGAGCCTTGATACTTATACTTATTTATTTATTTTTTGTGGTTTACAAGACTGAAGGGCTCTTGAGAACTGGAGAAAGCTATCTGAGCTGCTGCATGCCATTTCTATGGCTCACTGCTCAGATTGGATTCCCCTTATACAGCACTGTAGTGTCTTCATTACGCTTGAGGGTTGCAGGAGGTGCAAAATATTTCCTAACCTTTATCAGAGGGAAATGGAACAAACCAATTGCGTACCGCATGTGTCAAATTTGTACTTTGCTTTTGGTCCGTGTTTTTGAATTTATAAAGATGTGTCCTCTTTAAAGCAAAATCGGGAATTTTGTTCATTGTTTTCCCAGTGTAATCTGTGGATGCAATGGGAGCAATTTACTAAAACTGGAGCAGGCAGAATCTGGAGCAGTTGTTTATAGTAACTGATCGGCTTCTCTTTTCAGTTTGTTCAGTTAAAGTGACACTAAACTCAGGAGGTAACTCTTAAAAATACATTCAAGTACCTTTTAACTATTCACAAACATGTATCTTATTTGTGCATCAGTCAGCTGTACATCCTCAAATCATCTCTGAATTGGTGCTGATGCTGTCCTTCCTTCTGGAGGGGGGCTACTATTGTTCCCCATGGTCTCTGTGTGTGTAGTAAAGTCACCGCTCCAAGCTCGCTCATGTAATGAACTACAATCCCAATACAAATTAGTAAACTAAATGTTAGAATGTAGTCCATCACGAGAGCGAGCTTGGAGCGGTGACTACTTTACAACATACACAGGGATCATGGGGAACAAACGTAGCCACCCTCCAGAAGGAAGCATTCAGCTCGGCTATTCTACTTTGGTACCTCCGTGGTACAGAGCAGAATAGCAAATCAATTAAAATAGTTAAAAAAAAAAAAAAAGAGTTGAAAAAATAAATCTAATGTGAAATACATTGAAAAAATAAAAAATTATGATTTAAAAAAACAATTCGGCGGATCTAGCAGTGACAGCTCCGCCCAACTGTTTCCTATTGGCCGGCACCTGCTAGAGTCTTCTAGCAGGTGCCGGCCAATGAATAACAACTGGGCAGAGCCGGCTATGACGTCACGGGCCTGCTCCGCCCAGTTTTTCTTTGACAGTTCAGCGTCTCCAGGTTATTTGGGGATGCTGATCCGTCATTAAAAATTGGGCGGAGCCAGTCGTGAGATCACGACTGGCTCAGACCCAGGTGTCATTTGCGGGTTGAAAGGCACTCCTTTTAGCAGGCCGTTCGACCGGCTTCGGCTGACACTTCAGCTCAGTCGGACTGAAGCAAATTCCTCCTGCTTGGCTGAGCCGCTCGGCTGCCTTTGGGCTGTAGTGAATAGCCCGTACAGCAGCCCTTCGGTTCCACTAAACTGAAGGGCTCCCGCAACCGAAGGATGAGCTGAAGCTACGGCTGGATCCTTCGGCAGCTTTGTGAATAGACCCCTAAGTCCATCCAGTTCAACTCAATGTGAGTCATCCAATAGACAGGCCAGCTATACTTTAGAATGTTCATGTCGTGGATGGGACTGTTCCTTTTTAATTGGGCTTATTGTTGACTGTTTAAAAACTGCAGCAGATTATCTTGGAATACCCATATTTCTGATTTGTGTAAGAGGAATTACCCATCGATGTACGAAAAAATGAAGATGAAGCAAACCAATTTAAAACCCATCTTTGTTGAGTCATCTAATGCACAGTTTCAGGGCTGGGGCTGGGAATGACAGAATGAATATCCGGGTTAGGCACACAGATATGCTTGGGCAAGATCCCATAAATCTACCACCGCAGTGATTGTCAGTATCATTTACTGTGGAGCAAGAGTCAGAAGACATGCCAATTGCTGATATCAGTAGTGATTTTCTAACTGCATTGTCTTCCATTAATTCATTTTGATGTGTTGTCCATTGGGTTGTAACTTGTGCCATACACTTACTAGGTATCTACTTGCTGAGCTCCTTGTTACACCATGTGTAGACATGGACAGCAATATTTAGTCCATAGTAAATGTAATTTGTTCTATGTATATTTTTTTCAAACCTTTTTTTGTAGAGATGCACCGAAAGTTAGGTTGCAGAAAATGGTACTTCGGGCAAAATGCAGATAGTACCTTAACGGCTGAAAATGTTGCAGAAAAATCTGTGCATTCCTAACGTCTCTCCTGCCCGCTGGGCGCCAGTCTGTGTCCCGTCCGATCTCTGCTGCTCTCACCTGCCCTTGTCGGCAGGGATCAGAGGGGAGAGAGACCGGCGTCCAGCGGGGAGGAGAGAACGTTTCAGGATGCTGAGCGGGGCGGAGACAGCTGTCACAGGAGCTGAGCTCTCCTCCCGCACTGTCCCGCTTGGCTACTGTGACAGGCAGAAAGTCAGTTTGCTTAGCGGTGTGGGGGAGGAGTCAGCTGTCAGGCTGAACTTTCCTCCCGCACCGTCCCACTCGGCCTCCTGTGACAGTGAGTCAGGATGGAGAGTGGCTTACAAACACTCGGCAATCAACTGATCGCTAAGTGTAAATAACTGAGGACAGAGTATGCTTACTGTGTCCGCAGTTATGAATGAACAGGAAGTGCTCTACATCACTTCCTGTTCATTCATCATTGTGTACATAGTAACTCATACTATCTCCACAGTTTGAATGGACAGGAGCACTCAGTATAGAGGCTTCCTGTTCCTTCATTACAGGGGCTGCAGAAAAAGATATAGGACTCCTATCTCTTTTTTTCTATTTTAAAAAGGAAATATCAGTGGTATGTTTAGACCTGTGATATTTCCCCAGAGTCACTGACAGTATAGTCAATAAAAATACATTTAAAAAGTTTAAAAACTATTTAAACAAATTTTAAACAGGTTTGGGGGGGAAAATGTCAGTTTCGGCCTGACAGATTTTCTAGTTTCAGTGAATCTCTATGTTTTTGGGATCCTAATATACCTGAAGGTCTGTTGAACAGTCAGTTTGCATGCCTGTATAAGATTTGACAAAGAAAACAGAAAGACGGTCTCAGTTCTCAGTTCTGATGTTTCCATTGTTTGGGGGTACATATCACTCTGATCAAAAAGTCACCTTTTAAATCTTTATGCTTTGTACATTTTTTTGCTTCCACATTTAATCATGATGGTGGACATCTGTAAAAAGTAAATCAAAGCAACTGGACTTGCTGTACTTTTCTTGAAGATATTTCACTGCTCATCTGACTAGCTTTCTTAATTCAGATAGTCGTATAACCAGCAAAATGTCTTCAAGAAAAATACAGAAGTCCAGTTGCTTTGATTTATTTTTTTGCAGATAAACCATGATGACTTGGATGAATGAGAACCTTCACAGACATGATGGTGGATAGTTCAGTTCTGCCTGGACTATGCTAGATCCTGGGTCAGAGGGAGGAGAGAGGATTGCACCCAGGTAGATCTAGGATTTCTGTGTGTACAAAAGTAGTAGCAATTGAAAGTTTTTGTTTGCCCTAATCAGCTCCAGGGCACTGTAAATACAGGTGTATTTTTCGTTTTATGCCCGTATGCATCCCGGCTTAACTCCGGCTCCCGGATTCCTGATTGGCTAGGAAGCCTGCTTCACTTGTTGCTAGGCAGCCTGGCTTTCTGACCAATCGGGAGGCGGGTCATGGCGTGCTGCCTAGCAACAAGTGAAGCCGGCTTCCAAGCCAATCAGGAAGCAGGGCGGCGATCATGACTCCCACGCGGCACTGCCGGTCAGAAGGAATCTCCGCTGACCGGAATTTCCGGTATCGGGCTAAGTATCGGAGCATTTGGGCGAGTAACAGTACTCGCCCAATACTTGGTATTGGCACCGATTCTAGTATTTGAGGCTGAATAAAGACACAGGCCCATCAAGTTCTTTGTGTGTGTGTGTTAGTCATTAAAAGTACTATTCGGCTTTTGAATGATTCCATACTTTTTTTCCCCTCCTTTTCTGTCATTTAAATGTTGCCGATCTCCTATAGTCTCTTTGCAGCTACGTCATGCCTGCATGCACTCCAATGATGGCTGCATGGCATTTTTATTTTTCTGGGTGAGTTTTCTAATGACAACAGTGTACCATGCCTGTGTAATATGTGTTGAAATGGACAATTGTAGTCTCTATTGGAAGTCCATGTAACAGGGTGACAATGCAGGGGCACAACTGAGACAGGGACAAAGTGTTGTCACCCTATAATCGGATGTGCCTGCATAAGGCAGAATCGCCTTTTAGCAAAAGCTGGGGATTTAGAAAGTCTTTAAAATTAAATGTTAAAGCTGATATGAGATTTATTGATTGAGTTTACATATACTTTTGGAATTGTTAACAACGATAATAAGATACAAGAGGGACTTGTTATCAAGAAGACAGTGTTGTGGTGGTGTGGGTTTATGGAAGCTATTAGGAGTTCTTTATCTTTGCTTTGTTTCTTTAGGGACATCGAGCCAGAGTCTCAAAAAGAGGAACATTTGATGGAAGAAAAGAAAAAGAAAAAGCAAGAAGAAAAGAAGAAGAAGGAAAGTACTCAGAAAAAGGTCAGTGCTCACTGCTGTTTTATTTTTCTTCTGTTTGGCTAGATTTTCTGCTCATTAAAACACAAGCTTAGACCTTTGTAAATGGATTAATTCCCACAAAGATCTTCAACATGCATGGGAAAACTTTGGAACAAAATGTGCTTTTTCAGATACCTCAAACTTCTGAAGTTTCAGAACACAAAGTGGAAAGTGGACAATTGGTTGTAAAGTGGCCATTTTGTGCACTTTCCACTTGAAGTTCAGTAGGAGACATTTCTTTTCTTTTTTTTTTTAATTGTATTTATTTCTTTAATTGTAGTATTTTCACATTTTAATCACTTTTTTTCTTTTTTTGTGTTGCAGGCTGCTGAACAAAAAAACAAAGGTTAGTGAGAATCTGCCTTTTACAACATGCATTTCAGAGCTTTGTGAGTTCCCTAGCTGCTGGCTGCCAATCTTGCTGCCTGCTTGTGTCCGACCAGGGTCCCTGTTCTCATTGAAATTCAGGGCCTGTAGACAGTCGGTGATGCTGCCTGCAGCCTTCATGCTTGTACGGATGCCATTTACTTTTGAACAGGACATCCATCTTCCTTCACGTTTCGTTCACACAGAGCTCGCAGTGTAACTAGACAAAAGTGTTCTTTTGCTTGCGCTTTATATTGACATAGGAAAGAAATGTTCTAGCCAAGGACTAAATGTCTGATTTGATTTTTATGTTATTTTTATTTTTTTGTTAAAGTTCATTGTATGTAATATTATGGAGAAGATATTGACTAAAATCAAGCCAGATCAGTGTGTGGTTTTAGTATTTAACATGTAACTATTTCTTGGTCCTATACACTTCAATTAAATAAGCTGATAGTAATGTCCAGAATTTAGTCCTAATATACAGGTATTTGCATTTTTTTTCTTTTTTGTGTTCATTGGGGGTCACTGTAATTCAAAGACTGTTGGGTGATATCGCAGTCTACAAAAGGGTTTGCACACTAGCAAACAAACATTGTGGCCAACCCAGTATAACACCTTCTGCTTCTAGCGTGCCTCAGTTTTTTTTTTTTGCTCCAGGAGCACACTAAAAATTATTTAACATTTTTTTTTTCTGACTAATCAGGAAGCTGGGAGGCAGGTCATGACGTGCCGCCTGGCTTTCTGATTGGTCAAGAAGCCACGCTGCCTAGCAACAAGTGAAGCCGACTTCCAAGCCAATCAGGAAGCAGGGCGGCGGGTCATGACTCCCTCGCGGCGATCAGTTTCTTCCAACAACATTAACTTCGCAGCTACAGCGTCCTTTACAAAGACTTTATCCATCCTTGTCATTTTAATGGCCTCTGTAAAGGGGAGCCTGCTTCTCGTTCCACCATTTCTCAGTGCCTCAGACAGATCATCACCCAAGCTTGCAGTCTTAAAGTGACATTACCTCAGGAGTTAAATCTTAAAAATGCATTCAAGCACCTCAGCTATGTTTAAAAATGCATCTTATTTGTGTATCACTCAACTGTAGATCCTCAAATCATCTCTGAATTGGTGCTGACACTAACCTTCCTCCAAGCTCACTCCTGTGATGGACTTTAATCATGTTTACTGTGCTAATTTGTATTTGTATTGGGATTGTAGTCTATCACAGAAGAGAGCTTGGAGTGGTTACTACTTTACAACACACACAGGGACCATGGGGAACAAAAGTAGCCACCCTCCTGAAGGAAGGACAGTGTCAGCACCAATTCAGAGATGATTTGATGATCTACAGCTAAGATACATTTTATAATTGTATGTATTATATTAGAAAATTGTATTGTTTTTATGGATTTAAAAATCTCCAAGCTGTTATAATAAAATAAACAAACTTTTATTTAAAATAACACACCAAAATTGGACAAAAAATATATTTTATATATAAAAGCCCGGTCATCAGTTTAGAGTTAGGCATTACCTGCAAATTAGCGCTCTCTATTGACACCTGACGTGTAGCACAATTGTCGTTTTCGTACGTAGGTGCATCTGACGTGTGATTCCTTTTAGTATGCGTGCATTCGTGGGGTCGGCAGACTTGCAATTAAAAATACCCCCAAATTTTATTTTTTTCCTCACAAGCCCCCTATGTGATAGCACATTAAAGGTGACAGCTTCTCTTTAAGGTGACATTAGGGGTCTATTAGACCCCTAGGGGTTGATTTACTAACCTTATAAACACACCACAAACATGTATACACCTCTGTAGTGTGTTCCCTCCCAGCATGATCTATGGGTGGAATCCAAACACCTTTGTAGTGTGTACACACCCAGCAGGTGTGTTGTGCAAAGCCAAGCATGAATTGCAAGGTAATGTTGTGTAAATTAGCTCTATGTTGTGTTGCTTGCGTTGATGAATGCAGGAATGTAAATGCATGAGCTAACCATTTTTGTCTAAACTGTGAAGCAGCATTATATATGCATCATGTGCATGATTTTTCCATATTTGGCATTAGTGGAAATATGCTTTTAGAGACTTTTTGGTTGATAAATACGTTTTGCTGTGTGAAAATCATACGCACCTGGTGCGTGTGTGTGTTTAGGTTAGTAAATCACCCCCCTAGTGTCACCTGTCACCTTTCCACTTTCATAGTTTTAGCTGGGAAATGACAGCTTCCTGCTGAATGTGAGCACAGCAGGCAGTATCTTGGAGCAATAGCCAGCCTGCTGTTGGCTATTTCAAATTGCAATAGCCAAAAGCAGGCTGGCTTTTTCACCCATCCACTACTTGCTGTCAATCAGCAGAGGAAGACCTCAAGGAGAACTTTCTTTTTTCAGATCCCTCCTCTGCAGCTATCTGTGTCCCATTCCAACCCCGCTGCCGTGGAGAGGCAGCAGCAATGGAAGGGGACACAAATCACAGCATGCAGCACTCCCAGAGGAGGGGAGATTGGAGCAGCGGGGGGGAGGTTTGGAACTGGACACCGACTGCAGTGGTCTGTGTCCCCTCCCGTCCCAGCTGGGAGCAGCGAGAATTGAAGGGACACAGAGACCAAGTAACGCGTAAAAATTAACTAATCAATAATGAGAATCTTTGACAACGATTCTCATCGATTAGTTGCTGCAGCCCTAATACACATATACACCGAGTGGCCAGATTATTATGACCGTCTGACGTTTGTAGGCAAATTAGCTATAATTTTGCGCTGAAGTTGCTAGAGGGCCAGACTATTATAAATAGGGAAGCAGGTTGTTTACCACGACAGTAGAAGTGATTTGTTTCTGAAGATATGGGTAAACAACGCAATTTAACAGCCTTTGAACGTGGGATGATTGTTGGCGCTCAAGCCATGGAGCGAGTATCAGCAAAACAGCAGAATTCGTTAAAGAGCAGATGTTGTTCAAGTGTTTAAAGACTGGACTGTCAGCCGAAAATCTGGGTCTGAACGTGCGAATTGTGGCCGTCAGCGACTAGTCAAGGTTATGGCAGAACGGAGAGTGGCAAGACTGGTACAAGACAACAGAAGGGCAACAGTGCATCAAATGACTGCAGATCTTAATCAGGGATCCTCTCAAATGATCTCTGAACGCACTGTTCACCGTACACTGCATCGTATGGGATATGGAAGCCGAAGGCCTGTTCGAACACCTTTGCTATCTGCAGTTAACAAGATAAAACGTCTCCAATTCGCACAGGAACACAAGGATTGGACAGTCGAGCATTGGAAAAAAGTCATGTGGTCCGATGAATCACGTTTTCAGTTGCATCATGCAGATAACAGAGTGAGAATTTGGTGGGAACAGCATGAAAGCATGCACCCCACATGCATGAGTACAACCCTTCAAACTGGTGGGGGCAGTTTTATGGTTTGGGGCATGTTTTCCTGGCATGATTTGGGCCCTTTAATTCGTGTGGAACAACGTCTGAATAGCACAGCATACCAAAGTATTGTTGCTGATCAAGTTCATCCTATCATGTTGATGGCGTATCCCAATGGAGATGGCTTCTTCCAACAAGACAATGCGCCATGCCACAGTGCTCGTATTGTGCAGGAGTGGATTCAAGAACATGAGGTGGACTTTACCTTGCTTAGGTGGCACCCACAATCACCAGATCTCAATCCAATGGAGCATTTGTGGGACAAAGTTGAAAGAGCCATCAGGCAGCTGGTTCCTCAACCATCAAATCTCACAGAACTGGACAGTGCTATTCATCAGACATGGTGTCAGATTCTTCGCAACACCTTCCAACATCTCGCTGAGTCAATGCCAAGAAGAATCGCCGCAGTATTGAAGGCAAAAGGTGGCCCAACGAAGTACTGATGGGGTGGTCATAATAATTTGGCCACTCAGTGTATATAGACACACACACGCTGTATATGGCTTCATAACTCTAAGAGCCACACATCCCCTAATGAATGGTTATTTGGTTTAGAAAAAAATTACAGTTGCCCTTAATACTGCAGTATAGGGAAATGCATCAGAAGCTTGATGTGAACCTGTGAGGACAGAAATATGGGAGCTGCTTTGTTGATTTGTTTTAGCAGTGCGGGCTTTGAGGATGTTATTCATTTTTCCAGCATCACCACTTGGCAAACTACAGATGTGGACAAGCATGAAGCGTAATGTAGTATAAAAGGTTTGCTCTCCAACTCTGCGTACTTTGTTTTAGGTCAGTGACATTATCTAGTAACGTTGGGATGACGAGCATGGTACTTTTACAATGAATTCAGCAATGACCGCTCTCCTTGTTTCTGCACTCACAAGTTCATGTTAAATGGAAATTGCTATTTTTTTAAAATGTAGGTTTTAAATGATTTAATTTTTTTAATGATTTATATACAGGGTAAATAATGAATGCAAGGTGCACCCTTGACACAGAATTCACAGTGCATTACACGTTTTCTAAATAGAGAGCCCAACAGACTTTTTACTTTCTCTCAGTGAAACTTCCTACAGAGCCATCTTAGACATGCAGGCCGGACAAATTTAAATTTATCTATTTTTCTAAAATTTGAAAAAAAAATCAACTTTTTTTAAATTTCACTTCACTTATTTTCTACTCTGCTCGGTACCTTGCTCGGCGGCATTCCGCTATTCACTTACTGCCGTTTGGCCCCTATGAGACTAGGGGCAAATTACAGCGAGTGAGCTACCGGAGCTTTGGCTCAGCTAATCCAGAGTATGTTCGGCTGACCAAAGGCAGCCGATGTATGGCTGAAATCAGTTGTACAAGCCAGAAGTGAATAGCCGAACAGCGTTGGCAAGTAAACTGCTAATATGATGTCTCTAGCAGTCAGTTATATGTTGATGGAGTCAAAGGAACACAGTAGTTGTTTGTGGCGGGTGATAGTCATAATTTATCCAATCTGAACCAGGAAGAAAGAAGGCTTGGCTCCCATAATGCAGGAGCAGCTTCTTGTGTCCTTCTGAGTT